TCATGTGCTGATGTATGTAGACAGCATCGAGCAATCTCATGGATATTTGATCGGCAGGTCAACTTTCAGCACCTTATAGCATCAGAGACAAATTATTAGATTATCAATACTGTGTTGCATACTAGTTGTGTCCAGCGTGGAACTTATGAATGATGACGGACAATAGGTAAATTGACTTTTAGGTTTTGTGGCGCACCGTAGAGAAGGCTCAAAGTTTCATTTTTATTAAAATAGCTATGGATTCAAAAGATACGTTTTCATTTAAACTTGATTATCTTGTTGACTTGCGTCTTCAACCCACACAAAGGTCAAGCTTAGGATGTTCTGGTTCAGAGCTGGACTATGCGAATAGAGAGTTTATGTACCTAATCATTGTTATAATATGCTCTTACTATGAAGAGTTATGTTAGTTGGGTGTGCTTTATTAAATTGTCTCTACACGCCTACAGTGAATGTCCTAGAGCTGTTGTTGAACCAGTGGAAATGCATCTTTTCTGAACCAAGAAGTCCCGAGTTTGGCTCCATCTGGGGATAATGGCCACGCCTATTCGAGATCAAAGCGCAGACAATTCTGAATGAACATCTACACATAGCATGTATTCCATTGTGAACTTATGAGATGTTGGCAACTCAAACTTTCCTCACAACATATGAAATATCATCTCGATATCACTAGCTGGCCTGCATCCTTCAATGAGTTTCACTTATAGCTTCATAACCCGATCCCTATTGGGGCACCACTTAACAACAGCCACTTTTAAAAAAATGAATGCTTCACCATATCTACGCTAATCACACTTTTGCTACTTCTCTGTGAAACTACGATAATTACTCTACTTTCATCCTAACTTTTGCCAACTTTTCGATAGCTACAATGAAGATTATGCGAGTACTCTGAAAGGTAAGAGGAAAAGAATGCGGTCGAACGTTTATCCTACAATTTCTCTGCATTTTGGCACTTTTTTTGGGGGTCTAGAAGTTTCATAATCGAGTAGAGAAATTTTTCTTCATGTCCGTTTCGATGAGACATTGAGACAATCAGCAATTTAAATTTATTTGTCATGTTTACTCTTAAAATGATGTTATTACCAGTAAGCTCTTTCCTTTTGGTGTAAAAAGAGGCTAAATTCGTTCCATGTACCTTAATTGAGAGGAGGAGGAAACACAGAAACAGGTGTTTCCTGTCAAAAATAATTTAATTCGGAAACATCAGACTTCGAGCCAAATGAACCTTTTTAATCAGGCCGTGTTCCTTATAAAATGACATTTGGAGAGCCGTCAGGATATCTCGACATTAGCATTGCCATACGAAAACAAAAGGCCTAAATTATACAATGGGGCGCAATAAACCAACTTTAGCGTTCGTATAACCTCACAAAAAGTGGCAACTATACTTCGATAAACTTACTAGATCTGCTACTTAACTGGGTCTTGGCTCACAAGAGAAGAGACATTTGAGTTTCAGACGGAAAGTGTCAATAAGGTAAAAGGGTGTCTTGTCCAAACCAACTGACGAAACTCAACGTCACCAAATTAGTGAAACTTGCCTCTTATCAACTGACCGATGTTGCGACAACGAATTCCCTATTTCTTTCAGGCTCGGAGGAGCACGCTTATGCATTGGTTTTCGTTCCTACATGTAAAACCTTTTTTATTGTTTAATAGTAATGACTTGAGATTGCGTAGATGACAATACAGTTGGGCAATAACCGAACCATTGTGAGGGCGTTGCTTACTCCGGCCAAAGGGACAGAAGCACATGTTGTATACTATACCAGGACACTATCGATTGGGGAGGTTGGAGGAAAATTCAAAACAGTTAAGAAGCTTGGCGCCATGTGTGAAGTTGACTGTAGGCCGGAGACATGTTGTGGGATAGAAATGCTATAAAGATAAAAGGATAAAAAGGTTCCGTATCAAATGGCGACTGTAGCCGTGAGAGCTGGCTCTATGGCAGCCAAACAGGGGGCCAAGCAGGCGATAAAGGTTGGGGCCAAACAGGGCGCAAAACAGGCGGCCAAACAGGGCGCAAAACAGGCGGCCAAACAAGGCGCAAAACAGGCGGCCAAACAGGGCGCAAAGCAAACCGTCAAAACAGGCGCCAAACAAACCGCCAAAACAGGCGCCAAACAGGCGAGCAAAAAAGGCGCCAAAAAAGGCGCCAAAAAGACGATCAGCAAAGGATCAAAACAGGTATCTAAAGTAAGAGACACGGGTTCTGGAAAACCGGAAGAGGGCAAGAAAGCGGGCAAAGAAGATGCCGAGAAAGAGGACCGACGAAAGGGGAAAAAATCGGTCGCAAAAGAGACGAAGCAGAAGAAGAAGCAGAAGCAGAAGACGGCTGGCAGGGAGCTGGAGCAGGGCGATGACTCAACCGAGACGACGACTCTGGAGGGATCAGATCTCACCACCAGTCTGGAGAGTGACATCTTGACGTCTACGAGTCTGACCAGCCTGAATGAAGGGCAGATGTCCTCTTGCGCTTCGTACAGTCCCTCGAGTGTGGATGTAGACTCTGAAGGACTTCCGAGCAGCCAGTCCACCGACGCCTCGGAGATAGCCGTCTCTGAGTCCACAACAGACGACACAACTTTGCCGCCTCTTCCCAAAGGGAATACCAAAATGGCGCTGTCCTCGGACCAGGTCAAACAACGGCGCGACAGTCATGGCAACAAGGCAAAAGCTGGAATGTTGTTCGAAACAGCGAGGTCTTTGTCTCCACGAGCAGCTGAGACGAATGGGAAGAATAGGACGAAGAAGGAGGAGATGTCTGTTGCTAGGCCCCGAGCCAAGGTGTATCCGACAGGGATACTGGAGGCTGTGGAGCCGCCGATGCTGCTGAAGGCCGTGAAGACTCGACTCGCCTCGATGCCGGACAAGACGCGGCGAGCCGCCGGCCAGTTGGTGGGCCAGGACAGAGAGCCGCTGGTCTCGGCTTCCGAAAAGACTTCTCCTCGGACCTCCGCCTCTCGGGCGTTCAGGAGCCCGGATTCGAGTCTCACCTCTCCGCTGACCGGCGGCCTGACGCTCCGTTTGCCCGTGGCCACTCCAGACGCCGCGACGAGGCGCCCTCTTCAAGAGTCCATCAGAGAGGCTGATCGTTCGATCACGCGTCAGTTGCCGGGCGACTCGAGGCCGCTAGCGGCAAACGATGAGTCCAGGATGCTGAGTCAAGCTCGGGGTCTGCTGGAGTCAGCGTTGGCCAGTGAGCGCGAGTTGGACTCCCTGTCCGACGCCAAGGCCAGCATGATGCTGTTCGACCTGACGAAGGAGGCCCTGTTGACGAACATCAAAGCGGGCAGAGGCGGCAGTCCATCGAAAAAAGACAGTTCCAAGGCTGAATGGCTGCAGGCGCTCGAGATGATCATGCGTCAACAGCGGCCCACTTTCAAAGAGCGCAAGCAGTGTCGTTGCACCCGAATGAACCTTTCGACCCCACGCAGAAGACCCTCAAATCGCCATCGCCCATCACGCCGTGAAGAGGCCTACGCGAGTCATGAGGCCAGTGATTCTGCCACCTCGTCATCGGCCTCGACGACATGTTGGGATCGGTCGTGTCGGGTGAACAGGGATCAGGTGAAGCGATTGGGCGACATTTTACGCTTGTTGACCGGCTCAAAGCCGGCCTGTTGCTCTGAACAGGCGGAGGCCAGGAAACGTCGGGTGAAAGAGACGAGTGTTTTGAATCGGATCGTCCGAAAAGTGGAGTCCAGCCTCTTACGACGTTTACAGCCGGTTGATTGGAAAGAGGCAGCTGGCAGTGACTCGTGTCCGTGCTGTCAGATCTATCCGTTCGCGACTGTACCCGCGGATCCGATCTCTCTGGAGCCCTGTTGCGTTCCGCCATGTGAATGTCAAATGTGCAACACCTGTAGCTCTCGGCCAATGGACGACTTCTATAATTGTGCCTGTGGATACACAAGGATGGGACTGAATTGAAGCCTTGTATGATCTGTACCAAAATGCACTCGTACCAAAACACAGGTAGAGACTGTTCCTGAGACTTTCATGTTTAGTCTGATTTACAGAATAACCTGTTTATCAGTCTTGCGTTGAATTGGCTTCACGAAATAGATACATGAAGACCATTCTAACCATATTGACTTTTGTCATAGTTTCCGGACAGGTTCCGGTACCGGCATTGAGATGATTGATAGCCATCTTGACGATAGAAGGCAACATAGGGAAACACCTTAAAATCTGGCATATTAATAGATCCACCATCTATACGAGTGCTTTTCTATAAAAACATATTTCGAGACTATGAATGATGCTTGAGTAAGAAGTTACTCATAACAATCATAACAGCACTTATAGTACAGTGAGCGTCCTAAAATGACTATGTTTCATTTCTATAAAAAAGGAGCAAGATAACAGAAATACGAATACATTTTGGGACCTCGAGAAGGCCTATTTAAGGCCAGAGTTCCCCTCATCCTAGGTCGCACAAGCTGATGTAGCACTGATAGTTGAATTTTCCCACAATGATACGAGTAGACCTTACGCTTCCATTGAATTTCACATAGACTCGCTTTTTCTAAATTTACTTTTATCCAGGGTTTACTGCAGTTTCAATTCGCATCTCCAACGTAAATCGAGCTCGGGTAGCGCAACGTATAATTTCTTCAAGTTAACAGTATAACGTACTGTTAGTCTCGAAAATCTACTCAAATACGAAAAATAAGTAAAGTAGTCTATTGTTATAGCGAATATACGTTTGCTTCATCGACAATCATACAAGAAAATATTATATGGCAAAGGAAATTCACATCTGCCCTGTGATCCAAGGGCATTCGTGGCAATGTGGTCAAGTGGTTAACGTGTCAAGCTCCAACGTGTCAATTGTGGGAAAATCATTGTGGGAAAATTCTACTACCAGTCCTTCATCACCTTAAACGAGATAGGGTGAATACATCTCATATTAACAATATAAAATTCAATATGGGGGGGGGCCTGGCCTTTCTTAAAATTTACTTCTGACTCCCGATCCATGATAACATGTCGAGGTTATACGCTAAACTACCTGGATTCGCTTCAATCTATGACGCCGGTGAGACCCAGGTGAGGTTGAAACTGTGGTCCAGTCTACTTTGGATGAGAATACTTTTTGGATTGTGAGGTTAAGTAAAATTTAATGAAAACGGGGGCCTACTCATATGGTAACGGAAAAATTTAGCTATCCTTCCCACATCACAATATGCGATCTTGGTCTACTGGAGTTCTTTCGAATTAAGTATTATTTGTCGTGACTACCAGTAAATCAGTTATAAGATGTATTCAGCCAATTTCGTTTAAGGTGATGAAGGACTGGTAGAAGTAGAATTTTCCCACAAATTAAATGAGTTGAGCTGACGTTTCCATTGAATTTTCACATAGCT